TCTAGTTCGTCTCGTCTCTGGATCGCCAGTGGGGAGAGGCGATGGCCGTACGAGGCATGGAGTTGACGTTGGTGAACGGCACGGTGCTGAGGATGCATCTCGAGGAGACGGCGGGAGGGGTGAGGGAGCGAGTGGCGGAGTTGGAGGCGAGGCTGAGGGAGCAAGGCGAGGCCATGGCGGCTGTCAAGCACGAGCTGGCCGAAATGCGCCGCGTCATGGCGCACTTGACGGGCACGGTGTTGTGTGATGTCATCATATGCTATCACATTCTGTCTGCCTCCCATCCCATATTTTTTTCAACTTGCATGTGTGGTTTGAACGTGTGCAAGAATTTGTGTGTGATGTGTTCTGGAGTTTGGGAATGTGTTTTGTGTTATTTTGTTTGAGCAGGTTTTTTGTGATGATAGATCTTGAGAAGATCTTTCCGACGCAACGAGAATCCCTTCAATCGGAGCAAGAACGCGAAAGCTATGAAGATTCAAAGTTCATGAGCTTGCGTTACAATTGCGGCGGTTACAAAGTGAAGTTGTGGGGTGACTCTATATGGAGTTGGGACCTTTGGGGGTTGGGGAAATTTGTCACTCACTGTAACAGCTGCAAATTGGTTGGGAACAACCAAGCTAGGTTGGCAAGGGTGGCCAACTTGGATGGATTGGTTGGGAAGGGACAAATGTCAAAGTTGGGGTTCCTATAGGGAGGGAATCTTTGTGCTTATGGGGTTTCCTTGGTTGAGGACTCTCTTGGGACCTTCCCTCTCATCCCTCTCTTCTATCCCAACATTTCTCTTGCTCCTCTAATTCCTTGTGAGATTCTTGAACTTTCATTGAACTCTTGAGATTGAGTTAAGTTCTCCTCCTACAGCTTACCCCTAGTGCGTCGAAAGCCATAGCGTCGCGAATACTTCATCAATCAACGTGATTCAAATTGGGAACGGTAGCTGAGATTAAGAGCTACAACATATCCAAGTTTCGCGACATTCCAACGGCTAGGTTTTTGTCGACGTCGTTTCTTGTGAAGACGACTTTTCTGTCCAGAATTTCGGATATATATTTTGAGTAATTCTAGCTCCTAAGTTCACCTAGACTCCGTCCTTAATTCTAACAAGTGGTATCAGAGCAATATTAAGGACATTGAGAGGAGTCTACAGAAGTTTGAAGACCCTTCTAGACCCACCATGGCCTGTGGGTGTGCCTAAGTGGTGTTCTAAAGGTTGGATGTGTCTTCCGCTAAGGGGAAACTCTGCCGAAATTTCGTGGACGCCGACACTTGTGAAAATATCGAGGGAGCTGAGTGTGGACAGCAAAGGGGAGCTGAAATTCGTCATTTCTCAAGGAGAAGATGAATGAGAGAGGAGGAGATGCTAATGGAAGAGGAGCTGTACCTGAGAAGACAAGTGAGCCGCCGCCATCAAAGGTTGAAGCTTTGGATGGCTCCAACTATGAGGAATGGAGCGGACGGATGAGGAGTGCCTTCAAACGCTACAAGCTACTGAAGATTGCTGTTGGGGAAGAGAAGATGCCGGAAGAAGGCGAAGCACGTGAACGGTGGATTGAGAAAAGCGCGGTGCTTTTCGACCTCATTCTTCAATCGGTCAACAAGGAGATGTTCGAGCACATCAAGGATCTTGTGGAAGCGGATGATTCGGGTCCAAGGGCGTGGAAACTACTACGTGATGTGGTTCAGCCCAACACTCTCCCGATGGTGATCGTGCTCGAGAAGGAACTTGCTGCCATCTCCATGCGACCAGGGGACGATGTGAAGCCGGTCCTTGACAAGATCAAGGACACCTATGCAAGGATGGCAGCAGCGGGCAGCAGTGTATCTCAGCTGCAGCAGTGCACCAAGATCATCTCGGTGTTGGACAACTCTTGGGACAACCTCATCCCCACCCTCAACTCTCAGCAAGATCAATGGACACCTGAGTGGCTAAGGCAGCAGATTCTGCAGGAGGACTTCCGCAGACGCCATGTGGGAGGCGGTGCTGCCACTAAGACTGCTGAGGGGTATGGAGCTGCAGGGCGCAGCAGAGGAAGAGGGGGTTGGAAAGGCCGAGGCCGTGGGAGGAGCTTTGGCAGAGGTAGAGGCCGAGGTGACTATAATGAGGGGCATGGGAGCTCTAGTGGCAGGGGGAGTACCAGAATGGAGGGCACGTGCTGGTACTGCAAGAAGGTTGGGCATCCTTGGTTCAAGTGCTTCAGCAGGCTGGAGGGATGGGCACCTCCAGGCATGAAGCCGCCCAGTGGTGAACGCGCACAAGGTGGCGCTGTGCAAGGCTCAGGTGCACAAGGTGAAGGTGCACAAGGTAATGCCTATCCTGGTTTGTTTGTTATGGTTGAGGATGTGCATGGGCATGAGGGTGATGTGGGATCTGTGGGAAAGGTTGTGATGCACCCTCTCACGCACTGGGTGATTGATTCGGGTTGCACCAGTCACATGACTCCACGGGCAGATTTGCTTGATGAGGTAAAACCCCTGGGAAGATTAAGTATGTGGCAGCAGCGTCAGGTGCTTTGCTCCCCGTGATTGGTGTTGGGAATGCCAAGGTTAAGGGAGCTAATGGGGAGCTTGTGGGGCTTGGGAATGTTCTGCTGGTTAAAGGCTTGTCTGCTAACCTTCTCTCTGTGCGGCGACTGCAGAAGAGTAAGGCCGAAGTGACCTTTGGACCAACCAGCTGCCGTGCTAAGCTTGGGAAGAAGGTGCTGTGGAGTCTGGAAGAGGAGACCAGCTGCATCAAGGACCTGTGGCAGCTGCCCATCATCCCATGGAATGGGAAGACTCCAACAGCAGCAACGGCAGCAGCGGCAAAGGCAACAGCAGGAGGAGATGCAACTGCACCAACTGATGGGGTCCTGGAAGCAGTCAAGAAAGTGCAGCAGCAGCAGACACATGGTGAGGTGCTTGCTGGTGTGGATGCGAGTGCGGCATGGGCTAAGGCTTCATCAAGGAGTGGAGAGGCCGATTGGGAGACATGGCATGAGAGGCTGTGTCATGTGAACTTCCCTATGCTGCAGAAGTTGGTGAAGAATGGGAGCCTGAAGGGCTTGGAGGTGAAAGGGGAAGTGAAGGAGATTGGGAGCTGCCCTACATGCTTGGAGACCAAGTTCTCCAAGTTCCCCTTCAACAGTGCAACTGGACCATCCAAGACCCCACTTGCACTTGTGCACATGGATGTGGTGGGGCCCACAAGAGCCCCTTCCCTCTCAGGCAGCCGCTATTTCTTGACAATTGTGGATGACCACACTTGGGCAGTGTGGGTTTACCCTTTGAAGAGCAAGGGGGAGGTGGCAGCGGCTGTCCTTAAGGAGTGGATGCCGAGAGCTCAGAGGGAATGCGGACACAAGGTGAAGGTGATCCGTAGTGACAATGGTGGGGAGTTCATTGGAGCTGATTTTGAGGGGGAGTTGAAGAGGAAGGGGATCCAGCATCAACTGACAGTGCCCTACAACCCGCAGCAGAATGGCGTGGCTGAGAGGTTCAACAGGACCCTGCAGGAGGGGGCACGCACTCTCCTTGGGCGTGCAGGGCTGCCTGATCCGTTTTGGGTGTCTGCACTGAGGCAGGTCGCCCTTGTGAAGAACAGGGTGCTGGCTACAGTTGGAGATAAGGAGTGGATCCCATATGTCAAGTGGTATGGGAGTGCTCCAGCTGTGAACATGCTGAGGGCATTTGGGTGCATGGTGGTGTTTCATGTGCCTAAGGAGAAAAGGGGGAAGTTGGAGGCTTCTGGAAGATGGGGTGTGCACTTGGGGATTGCAAAGGATCACAAGGGGTGGCTGCTATGGGACTTGACCACCAGAAGTTGACAGTGTCAAGGGATGTGAAGTTTCTTGAGTCCCTGTACTAAGGAATGGAAGCAGCAGCAACAGAAGCTTCCATCTACACCTCATTGTGGAGGCAGATGAGTGCAGCAGCCTTCAAGACAGGTGGAGGTTGCAGTGTCAGAGGAGGAGATGTCTGGGGTGACTGAAAGGGGGAGCAGCTGAAGTAGGAGCAGCAGCAGCAGCATGAGTCTCCACCTCGAGTTCCACACCCGCCTGAGCGTCCTAGGAGGGATGTGCGCCCTCCAGTGAGGCTGACCTATGGGGGAAGAGGCAAGCCGAATGTGGTGCAGGCTGGGAGTGTGGTTGAGCAGATTGAGGAAGATGAGATCGCTCACTGCTACTGGGCACCAATCCCTGAGCCCAAGACTCGAGAAGAGGCCTTGAATGGACCAAATGGGGAGAAGTGGAAGGCGAGTGAGGATGAGGAGTTCGGGTCCCTAATTGAGAACGAGACATGGGACCTGTGTGACTTGCCTCCTGGAAAGAAGGCAATCACTTCCAAGATGATCTACAGGCACAAGTATGGACCTGAAGGGGAGCTGACCCGCTACAAGTCTAGGCTTGTGGCACGGGGGTTTCAGCAGACAAAGGGGAAGGACTATGATGAGGTGTTTGCTCCTGTGGGGAAAGGAACAACACTGAGGGTGCTGTTGGCGATAGCTGCACTCCTGGGATGGAAGATTCGGCAGATGGATATTGTGACTGCCTTTCTGAATGGGATCATTATGGAGGAGGTGTACATGAAGCAGCCAGAGGGGCTGGATGACGGGAGCGGCAGGGTCTGCAGGCTGAAGAAGGCCATCTATGGCCTTAAGCAGGCGCCTCGTGCATGGTATCACAAGTTGGAGGAGGCGCTGTTGGCTGGGGGTTTCAAGAAGAGTGAGTGTGACCCCAGCCTGTTCCTGCTGCAGGAGAAGGATGAAATCCTCATGCTCTTGGTGTATGTGGATGATATCCTTCTCTTTTCTGCATCCACTGCTTTGCTGGACAGCGCAGAGCAGATGCTGGAGATGCAGTTCAAGTGCTCCAAGATGGGTGAGGTGAAGTACTACTTGGGGATGCACGTGGAGAGAGATGTGGAAAAGGGTGTGCTGAGGTTGCACCAGAGGAAGTACTGTGAGGGGCTGGCTGAGAAGTATGGGCTGCAAGATGGGGGAAAGCCAGCAACACCACTACCTTCGGGGTTCACTGTGGAGCCATGTGCTGATGAGGAGGTAGTGGGTGATAGTGACAGGAAGCTGTTTCATTCGATGGTTGGGTCGCTGAATATTGCTGCAAATCATACACGGCCTGACATTGCATTTGCTACATCACGATTGGCTAGTGTGGTCTCACGCCCTAGTCATGAGCAGCTGGAAGCGGCCAAGAGGTTGGTCCGCTATGTGAGCGCTACGGCATCAGTGGGATTGGAGTACAGTGGAGTGAGGCAGCGGTTGCAGAGAGGTGCTGCAGATGTGAAGAGTGGAGAGATGCTCTTGAGTTGCTATACTGGCGCTAGCTTCAACTCAGTGAAAGCGGATGGCACCAGCATTGGGGGTTATGTGTGCTTGCTAGGAGGTGGTGCTGTGAGCTGGCGCAGCAAGAAGCAGAATGAGGTGGGATTGTCCTCATGTGAGACTGAGTACATGGCCTTACACCATGGGGCCAAGGAAGTGGTGTGGCTGATGCGCTTGTTAGAGGAGTTGGGAGTTGGTCAGGAGGAGCCGACAGTTGTGTTCTGTGACAATGAGTCTGCTGTGAAGCTCGCCAAGAATGCTTGTCTGCATGGGCTGACAAAACACATAAGGCCTAAGTGGCACTGGGTGAGGAGACTCCTTGATAAGGAGGTGCGGCTGGAGATAGTGAAGACCCATCAGCAGGCAGCAGATATTTTCACCAAGCGTCTGGCGGAGGCGGATCATTGGAAGGGCATGAAGCTTGCTGGGATGAGTGTGCATTGAGTATGCATGCTTGAGATGTTGGTATGGTGGATGATGGTTGGCAGCCAGAGGGGGAGATTGTTGTGTGATGTCATCATATGCTATCACATTCTGTCTGCCTCCCATCCCATATTTTTTTCAACTTGCATGTGTGGTTTGAACGTGTGCAAGAATTTGTGTGTGATGTGTTCTGGAGTTTGGGAATGTGTTTTGTGTTATTTTGTTTGAGCAGGTTTTTTGTGATGATAGATCTTGAGAAGATCTTTCCGACGCAACGAGAATCCCTTCAATCGGAGCAAGAACGCGAAAGCTATGAAGATTCAAAGTTCATGAGCTTGCGTTACAATTGCGGCGGTTACAAAGTGAAGTTGTGGGGTGACTCTATATGGAGTTGGGACCTTTGGGGGTTGGGGAAATTTGTCACTCACTGTAACAGCTGCAAATTGGTTGGGAACAACCAAGCTAGGTTGGCAAGGGTGGCCAACTTGGATGGATTGGTTGGGAAGGGACAAATGTCAAAGTTGGGGTTCCTATAGGGAGGGAATCTTTGTGCTTATGGGGTTTCCTTGGTTGAGGACTCTCTTGGGACCTTCCCTCTCATCCCTCTCTTCTATCCCAACATTTCTCTTGCTCCTCTAATTCCTTGTGAGATTCTTGAACTTTCATTGAACTCTTGAGATTGAGTTAAGTTCTCCTCCTACAGCTTACCCCCTAGTGCGTCGAAAGCCATAGCGTCGCGAATACTTCATCAATCAACGTGATTCAAATTGGGAACGGTAGCTGAGATTAAGAGCTACAACATATCCAAGTTTCGCGACATTCCAACGGCTAGGTTTTTGTCGACGTCGTTTCTTGTGAAGACGACTTTTCTGTCCAGAATTTCGGATATATATTTTGAGTAATTCTAGCTCCTAAGTTCACCTAGACTCCGTCCTTAATTCTAACACACGGAGGCGGCGGGCGCTGGGGAGAATGGGCGAGCGGGGCACGGCGGATCAGGCGTAGGGGGTGCCTCAAGGGAGGTAAGCCTAGGGCAGGCTCTGGAGCGGATTAGAACCGATGGCTCTATGGCCGCAGAGAGAATTGTAACGGAGCGGGTGAAGGGCGTTCGAGACGAGCTCCTGTCGCGAATGGGGGTTTTGAAGGGGCAGGTTTTGCAGGCGGCGCAGAGGGAGGCGAGGCACGCGGTGAGCGAGCTGAAGGCGGAAACGAAGACCGAAATGAAGACCGAAATGGCAGACATGATCGGGGCGGAGATGCGAGAGGTTAAGGAGGACGTGGAACACTTGCAGGAGGACATGGAGGAGTTGGAGGAGAAACGGGGAGCGTTGGCGGAGAGGATCGGCAGATTGGAGGCTGCTGTGGAAGGGGGCATCGACGCTGGCGAGAAGGCGGCACGGAGGCAGGCGGAATCTGTGAGGGCTGCTACGACGGAGGCAGAAAAGAGGTTGGTGGCAGTGATAGGGAAGGTGACGGTGTCGGTGGCGCGCTGTAACGCGGCCATTCAGCAGTGGCGGAATGAGAGGCGGAGCGAGCGAAACGGGGGTGGGAGAGCCGAGGGCGAGCAGTGTGCAGGGTCAGAGCAGAGCGAGAAGAGGAAGCGGAGGAGGAAGGAGGCAGGGGACGCGGGTGATGTGACGTCGGATGTGGCTTCTAGGGACGGCGCTCTCCTGGGGTGTACCTGCGACCTTGCAGGGACAGATTGGAAGGCGATGGAGGGAGGAGAAGGGGAGGAGCCGGTGCAGGACGTGAGGAATGCAGTGACGGCGGGCGCAATGAGGGAGGCTGCTGAGAGGCGGGATATGGAGAGTCAAGTGCGTGCGCTGCGAGAGGAGGTGCAAGCAATGCAAGGGAGAGTGGCTCACCTCGAAGAGATGAGTGGTGAAGGGGAGAAGATATGGGAGGTAAGTGGATGGGTGGCAGTAGGTTCGTGTGTGCGTGAGAATGCAGATGTGAATGCATATCCGGATGTGAATGCATATCCGGATGTGAATGCATATCCGGATGTGAATGCATATCCGGATGTGAATGCATATCCGGATGTGAATGCATATCCGAATGTGAATGCTTATTCGAATGTGAATGCATATCCGAATGTGAATGTGAATACGAATGTTATGTGGTAAGTAGCACCGCATGCGGCACACATGTAAGAGCGTGCGCACTGATTGAAACTGTACAGAGTGTGGCATACCTCTTTCGATTGAGCCATTGTTGTCCACGTACGTTTCATTCACCCTTCACTCAACAGGTACTGGTCAGAGTGTGGAGCAGAGCTGTACCGCAAGACTCCTACCTTCCGCTCACCAGCATCTCCTTCATCACAGACTCCGTCCTCTCTCAGCTCGCTTCCTCGCACCACCTCACGGCCATCAGCCTCAAAGGCTCTACAGGCTTCACAGCAGCAGGAATTCAAGGGTTGCACTCGCTGCCACGCCTGTCCTGGCTGAGTCTGGAAGACACCCACACCATGGACGCTGCTCTCGGCAGCATCACCCGCCTCGCCACGCTCACCAACCTTGTTCTGAGCAACACCGACATCACCGATGCTGGGATAGCGCAGCTGCAGGGGTTGTCGGCCCTCCAGGCGCTGCGCATCTCTGGCTGTGCGTCGGTTACATCTGCTGGCATGGTGCACGTTGGGGCACTGACAGCTCTTGAGTGCCTCACACTGCATTCCAGTGGAGTGAGGGAGGAGGGATTGCAGCATCTGACTGGGCTCACAAGCCTGAAGCTCCTCACCTTGCCTCCAAGAGTGACTGATTCTGGCCTGAGGCACCTGAGGAACATGCAACAGCTGGAGAAGCTGGGGCTGTGGAATGCTGTCATCACTGCTGAGGGCGTCAGGTGGCTCAGGCGGCTCCATCGTTTGGAGGACGTTGCAGCGCCAGGCGTGGATGATGTGGTTCTAGGATGGATTAGGGGCATTCTCCCTAGAGTGAAGCTGGTTACAGTCCTAGGGTATTGGAATCAGCAGCATGCCTCCAGGAATTGAGCTGATGTAGTAGGCGTCATTGAGTGAAACACGAAACGATTCTTGAAAACAAAGTTATTTGACACTGAACACCTTACCCAGTACGTATCAAAGTTACCGAATGACTAGAATGATGGAATATAACCTAGTGGGTTGTACTCTCTAAGGCACAACCCGGTGTAGTCTATAACAACATACAAAGATACCGTAATCCCCTGTATATAATACCATATGGTGTATATAAAAATTCACTAAAAAAATGACTGGGTGTTAACAGTGGCTCAGAAAAATATAGTGTCCATGAGTTATGTCAAATGCAATTTGAATTTCAGTGATTCAGGCCATATGTGTTCACAAATGCGCAGAGTGACTGTTTGCGAGGTACAGCATCCGCTACGACCAAACTCACGAACGAGGCGTCGTTGGCCAATCCCTGCTTAGTGCTGTGGTCAGGGCCAGGTTCGTGCCGCACCTGCGAGTTAAGACTAGAAATAATGAATAGAAGAAGGGTGAACAGGGGAGATATAGCGTTTAGGTTATACTTATCAAAGAAGCTTAGGATAGGAACTAAACTTAGGAACCTAGCTTAGCTAGGAAGGACGCCATGGAATGGCGTGCGGAGAGTAGATCTAGGAGTAGGGAGGGAATGTCGAGAAAGAAGGGATCTGGACTAGGAAGAGAGAGAGGTACAAGGAGGGGTTTGTACCCTCTATAGTAAGGTTCGGTAACCTACCAAGCCTAACAATTATATAACTCAATATAGAATTTTAACAATACTGTCGTGGCACTGGGATAACCCTGTATGAGAAATTTTGAAACAAATTACAAAATTTAAAGATTATGACAAGACTTATAGAGGAGTGTTGGGCTGAGAAAAGCCCTTGGGATCTTTCCAGAGACTACAGCGACGGAAAGTATTGCCCGGATAAAGTCCAATTTTAGGTTCAACACATGATTTGAATGCTTTCACCCGATGTATCGTTGAATGTTCATTGCTGACTAATAAGTTACGCGTGCCAGTTACAATAGGGTAACACGTTTGCAACCTGAATGGGTCGCACTAATAGCGTGGCCAAGATTTCAGTCGCGTGAGTGCATCCGGACAGTTTTGGCCAAGCAGCGGACTAGATCCGTTTTCGACTAGAGCATTCTCTCCATAGTTCCTAACGCAATCGTCGAGTAGTCAGAATAAAGTTTATACCCGAGGCGTAGACTACGCCAAGATGAGACCGATAGATGAGGCTCGTCGCTCCCGGATCGTGGCCCTGTTGCGTAGGGGGTTCAGCACGAGGCAAATCGCGAAACAGGTTGGCGTTGGGAAAAGTACAGTGCATGATGTTGGGCTCAAGGCGATTTCAGAGACTAGTCCCGAGGACGTACGTCCTACAATGCCCACTGCTGGTCGTCCACGCGTACTGTCGAGTAGAATTCGTCGTGGGATCGTCAGGGCGATCACTAGCGGCGAGGCGAAAACCTCGAGGCATGCGGCCCAAATCGTCGAATCCCAGCACGGCATCACGGTGCATCCTAGGACGGTGCGTAATGCGCTCAAATCCAGCGGCCTTATCGCAGTTCAGCAGCCTAAGAAGCCGCGACTCACCAAGAAAAATATCCGCGATAGGCTGGCGTTCGCACGGGCCCACGCGGATTGGACCATAGATGATTGGCGACGGGTCATATGGTCGGATGAGACGAGGATTAGTAGGTTCGGCTCTGACGGCCGCGCGTACGCCTGGGTTCGTGAAGGTACGACTCTCCAACACCACCATATCAAGCAAACCGTCAAACACGGGGGCGGCGGCTTGATGATCTGGGGATGTATGACGTTTGAGGGGGCGGGTTTCATGTGCAAAATCGATGGTCGGATGGACGGGCCGCTGTATCTGAGCATTTTGCAAGACGAGCTGAAAAAAAACCATCGACTTTTACAAGCTAACCCCCTCGGCTGTGATCTTCCAGCATGATAACGACCCCAAGCATAAGTCCCGTGTGGTGCAGCAGTGGCTTCAGGAGCAGGAGTATGGGGTCCTGGAGTGGCCGGCAGGAAGTCCTGATCTGAACCCCATTGAGCATCTGTGGGCTCATCTTAAAAGGGAGCTGGGAAAGCATGAGACACCTCCCACTGGTATGGTGGACCTGTGGGAGCGTGTACAAGAGGAGTGGGAGAAGATCCCATCAGAGGTGTGCTCCAATTTGATCGACAGCATGCCCAGGAGGGTGAAAGCAGTGATTAGGGCTAAAGGGCGGTGGACCAGGTACTAGTTTAAGGGTTTTTCAAGTTGCTGCTTCCGCCTGGAAATAATTGTCCACATGCACCGTGTTTGGTTATGTTTGCTGTTTACTGTTAACGATAGTAGTTTCATCAAATGTGTAGCATTTTAATGTCTCCCTAGATTGGCCTGCATATAGTGGGTAATGCCTCCAATTAAGGCTTAATGTTCAAATGCCCTTTAACGGTGGAAATTCAAAAAATTGCCAAACATGTGGACAATTCTTTCCGTCAGTGTAAGTCCCAGTTGTAAAAGGAGACTTGAGTAGTGCAACGGAAGTTGAGTAGTTGAACCCTTGTACTGGTATATGAGAACAAGTGATTGATTAAAAGAACAAGCATACAGCAATATATAGAAAGTAGGAAAGTAAAGCAGTTGTAGAATACAGTTGAAGAGGGGTTATCGAGTCGCACAGAGACTCGATTGTCGCTTCGGTTACCATCCTTGCAGTTGTAACGGTCAGTCGCAACCTCCGGTTGCGACCCTTCGAGTCCTTTCGTGTTCTTTGTCCATCCCCTCGTGTAACCTCCGTTGACTCTCATACCCGTTACGATCTTCCTCGAGTGTGGTGTTACACTTCAGAAACGCTTAAGTCCTTGAGGTATTTCCAACACTCCCCTTCGTTTCTGGAGTGCTGACGTGTTCAGATCCGGTGATGTTTGTCTGCCCGGTCAGCAGCATGCAGTAATTGAACTTTGCCTTCGCCGGTTTCTTCATCAGGTAGTCTGCGGCCATTTCTGTCGTAGGACAGTAACTGAGTTGAAGTCTCCCCTTCGCGATTTCATCCTTGACGAAGAAGTACCGCAGGGCAATGTGCTTGGTTCGATTGGCAAAGCCATCCTTGTTCGCGATTTGGATCGCAGATTGGTTGTCGCAGAGGAGTGAGAAGACGGGCAGGGTCGCAATCTTTGCTTCCTCGAGTAACTCTCGCAGGTAAAGTCCTTCCTTGGTCGCAGTGCAGAGGGCGATATATTCTGCTTCAGCCGAAGATAGTGCGATTAGTTCCTGTTTGCTCGACTACCAGGAGATAGTCCCGATAGGCTCTAGTCGGTAGATGTAGCCCGTTCTTGAGCGTCGATTTTCCCTGTCTCCCGCGTGGTCGGCGTCGATGTATCCGAGTAGTTGTACGGACGATGTTGTTTCTTTACTATAGGTAAGTCCGGTCGTCGGCGTAGAGACGAAGTAGTATAGTGCCCGATTTAATTCCTCGAGATCTTCTTGTTCCGGCTTCTTCAGATGCGTCGCCAGTTGGCTCGCGCTGTAGGATAGGTCAGGTCGGCAGGTTACTGCTGCGAATAGTAGGCATCCAAGCTTCTGCTGATACTCCTGGATTTTCTTCGCGGGGAGTTTTGTGGAGGTGTCGTTGTTGTTCCCGTAGCGGTAGGGAGTCGTGACTGTAGTCGGTGTTAGTCCGAATTTCTTCGCGACAACGCCTGCGTACTTTCCAGCATATAGGTAGAACGCCGAGTTGTCTTGGACGACGTTCAGACCCAGGTACTGGGTCACGGTGTCAGACACCGTGAGTGTCAAGTCCCTTTTCAGCTCCCCTTCGAACCAGGTGGCGATGTCGGTGGTGGAGCCGATGTAAAGCAGGTCGTCGACGTAGACGATGAGTAGGATATATTCCCTTTCCTTCTGTAGTCGGTACATGCCTTGGTCGTGCGGCAGCTGTAGGAATCTGATTCTGACAAGGCGACCGTGAAGATGCTGCTGCCAAAGCCGCGGGGCTTGCTTGATCCCGTAAAGGGATTTTGTCAGCTGACATACTTTTGTGGGGTCGTCGATGAATCCGTGGGGCTGCTCGACGAAGATCTTGGCATCCACAGGTGCGTACAGGAAGGCATTTGCGACATCGATCTGGCGCAGTGGTAGTTTCTTCGTGGCCGCGACGGCGAGTAGAATGGGTAAGGAGGTGTGACGGGAGACTGGGGCGAATGTTTCTGTGTAGTCGGTTCCGTATCGTTGATCGAATCCTCGTACGACCCAGCGAGCCTTGAATCGTTCGATGGAGCCATCCGCATTGGTCTTGATGCGGTACACCCACTTTCCCGAGAGAACGTTCTTCCCGTTGATGTTTGTTGCAGGTACCAGCTTCCATGTATTTCGGTCTTGCAGAGCTTTCAGTTCCTTTTCCATTGCCTCCTTCCATTTCGCCTTGTGTTCCCCCCCAGAGCCTGCGACAGAGTCGTTGGCTCATGCGGAGATGGCGGCGGCGGATGCTGGACGGAGACCCATAAGCCGAGTATGTGCAGTCCAGTGGGTGTGTGTCGAGGGGAATTTTCATTCCCTGAATAGGCTGCTTCGTCACCATCTTCTGGATCGGGTAAGAAGTTTGGGCCGATGCGTTTTGAGACATTTGTGTCGACCGGGTGAGGTGTAACGTAACCTTGGTCAGCAAAGTGGTAAAGGGTGTCGAGGTTGTTGCTATCGAGGGGATTGTCTTCGTCGAGTGGAACAGGCACGGAACAGTAAGGGAGTGGTCTGGCAGCTTCCGAAGCTCCAGGTACGTCTTCTTCTGCTGCGTCAGCCTCGGCTGCACGGTCGGTGAAGGAGCGAAGGCCCACGAAGCCGTCGGTGGGGTCATCTGTGTTGGCGACGTTGTCCAGGTAATGCTGCAGTGTCAGTCGTTCGTAGAAGATCACATCACGTGATGCCACGGTGTTTTTGTCTTGTATGTTGAGGAGTTTCCATGCTAAAAAATGTTTGGCGATGCCGAGGTGTATAGTCCCCACCTTGCTCGTTGAGTGAAACGTCCTCCTCGGGCTGTGTGGGGTTTGTACT